GATAAGCATTCGGCTGTCATTTTTGAACAGCATACAGACTTAGGCCCTTTTTGTTCCTTTAGGATTCTTAAAAACAGCTGTCGAGAATCTACAGAAATTAGTTTATTTTCTGGATTCTACAATTGAATTGTGTTGAGAAGTTTTTTGTTTAGCCGGAGATTATAGGAGAAGCTGCTATATGTTGCTTTTGAGCATCCACGTCGTTTTGCTTGGGTGGAAATTTCTGGAATTGCATCGAAGAAACAGTAAGATTGGAGATATATAATTTGTTTCGATCGGCCAAATGGCAAGTGGATGGGCAAACAAGCGGGGGCAGACAGGCAGGGCATCAGGTTCACCGTTCCACTGGATTAGACCACCGGAAGAAGCACTAGCTAGTGTGCTCCCGAGTTATGGTGCTGTACTACAACTATAGTTGTAGTTACGGAATTTTTACCGAATGGTCTCACCATTAATTGTTTACTCTATGACTTCTTTTGTAGTTGTTAAAATTTTAATTTTTAAACTTAATTTTTTAAATCAATATTAGATATTCTCAATGTATCTTAATTTTTACATGGGTTTTTAAGTCGCCAAGTATATGAGTTGATTATGACAAGGACTTCGTTTTGTCTTATCCATATCTGCACGGATTATAACAAGGGTTGAAAACGATTCCAAAAGTTTTTGGATTTCAGATCCATTTTTGAAGCATCGGTCTGAATATTTTTCACAAATTTTCAAAAAGGAGACGAATCTGAATTTTTTTCTAAAAACATAACAAATATGGAAGTTTTTCCAGAGGATATTTATTGTCTGAAAAGTATAAAAGTTGGACAAAGTAATCTCTGATCTATGATATTTATCCTTATGATATAAAAATTGGTATGGTTAGTTGCTAAAATTTGAAATTTTCAATATATTGTTTTTGAAAAAAAATTATAAATGGAAAAGAAAAAAAAAAGGTATGGTTAGGGTTAGGTAGTTTTGTTTTTGGCAGATAGGGGTTTGTCCAAACCTTTTTATTTATATGCTTTATGGCACATGTCCCAAGGTAAAACATTTTTATTATTAAAAGAGTAAAATTCAAGGAACTGCAAATTTATTTGCCAAATTATCAAATGACTGCAATATTAGCTAGCAATTTCACATCGATGTAATTTTAGCAAATACAATTATCATGAAAATACAATCTTATTATCCCCGAAAGGAGGAGGCATCGCTTCTCCCAACCACAGCATTACAGCAAGATGGCAGGGGAGGGAATAAGGGGAGGGGAATGGAGAAGTGCCGCTGCCGGACTGCTCGCTAATGTTCCATCAGATGATCATGTCAATAATGTTGGGAGTAACAAAAATACAGTTATGTGATAATTGTATTCATTAATGCTGCATTTACACGAAATTGCTCGCTAACATTTCATTTATTTAATTGATAGTTTAGGAAATAAAGTTGCAGTTACTTGAAATTAAAACAAGAGCTTGTTGCTTAAAAAAGTTGTACCAATTTTTGGTAAATTCAATGCTAATTAGTATTTTTATCAATATGTACTTTTATATCTGTTTTTTTTTTAATCAGAGCAGTCTAGCATGCTTGGGCATGAAGAAGCTTCTGGAAACGATAAGATCGATCAGCTAGCAACTGTAGCTTTTGGTAGGCCCCAGGGAAGCAAGTGTGGACATGAAATGATCAGGTTCAATGAAGGAAGGAATCCGGCCAATAACTTCTCCCTGCCTCTCTCAAAAAGTGAAAAAAAAAAGAACAGAAATATGTTTGCCTGATCTCGGCCATCTTGGGAGAAAAGAAATCTGGTAAATATGGAGGGGACAAAGGCAAGCCGTAACGCAAAATAGAACCACTTGTAAGAGTAGACTAAAGATCACCTATCTATAGTACCGGTTCAAGCCGTGTCAGACATTGTCAGGGCGCCGAGCATCTTTAGTCCCGGTTGGTGTGTTACCCACCGGAACTAAAGATCGAAACATTTAGTCCTGGTGGGTAACACCAACCGGACTATATTTGGGATCCTTTATATATGGATCTTCTTCTACCTCCAGCTCGAGCATGCTTCAAAATTTCTTGAGGAGGGGGAGGTGCTGCCAAAATTTCTTGTGAATTTGTTTTGGTGATAATATATAAATTTATGGTGTCTAAAAGGTTAGCAACTTATTCCTCCAATGTTTTTTGCTTAGCATTTATATTTAGAGATATGTTTTGTATACATTATTGCCTCTAGAAACTTAGATGAAAGATGATGAGAGAGAAAACTTGTGTAGGGAAGAAAGAATATAGAAATTTTGTTTATTTAGAATTTTATAAAAATTTGTGATAAAAGAGATGAGAAGGAAAAATATACAAAATTAATCTAAAAGAATAGAAAACAAAGTTAATTTAAAATTAAAATAAGTACAACACATTAAATATTTGTTTACAACTTCAAAAATAATTAAAACATCAATAATATGTGGGATTATTTTATAATTATTGTATGAATAATTATATATAACTATTGTATGATTGTTTAATTGGTTTGACTTTCGTGGATTATTTTTTATGATTTTTGTGCATTTCATGTAAATGGATCGGCAATGAATGTACAAAGCGGACCGACGGTCGAAAGAGTTTATTGACGGCGAGCATTATTTTTTGAGAGTGGCCAATGTTAACAAGCATAAGGGTTTTATCTGTTGCCCATTGAACGTGCTGATGAAGCCTAGAGGGTGGGGGGGAGGGTGAATAGGCTGTCCCTGAAAACTTAAAAACAAATCGCAGCAGTAAAATTCAAACAGACCCGGAACTTCCTAGTAAGGAACTCCGAAACTTCCGGCCTGCCAAACCCGGAACTTCCGGTGTTCTTAGGACAGGAACTTCCGGGTTACAGATAAAAGATGAAATTCAAATTTCGAAGCAGGAGACTAAGCCAATCTTCTCAAGATGATGCACATGTATTCTAAGCAGGAAATAGATCACAGAATCATCCACAGAAACATCACAGAAAGAGACAAGAGCGATTTTTTTCCGAAGTTCGGATCTTGCGATCCTACTCTCTGTTGAGGAACTCCAAAGAGCTGGGTCTCAATTAACCCCTTGCCTCACTTGTGCAAAAACCCCAGAGAAAATCCACAGCCTTCAACCCCAAACACCCCTAGGCAAATTTCTAGAATTGAGTGACCACCAAGATCCAACTCAACCTACTTCTAGAAATCTGTCACAAGTGTGGGTTGCTCTACTTGGAAAGCCTCTAGAATCTCAGCACAAGAACTTCACTAACTTACCTCGTTCCCTTTCGGAGGAGAGGAGATCCTTCACAAACTTACCCGAGACATCCACAATATGCAACGGATTCTCGCGGGCGACACCTAACCATCTAGGAGATCATCTCCAAGAGTTATAAGCACCGAGATGACAGCCCACGAGATACTCCAAGTGCTCACCCAAGATCCTAGTCTTCACACATCTCCAAATCTTCCTCTCTCCCTCTCAATCTCTCAATCTCACAAGAATTAGGCTCTAGATTGAGTGGAGAAGGCAAAAAACACTTGGGAGAGGCTAGCAACAGTTCTAGGTTCGAAAAGTGAAAGTGGAATAGCCAAAGAACGAGCTGGAAACGAGTTGTATATGTATAACAGCTAGGTGACGTCATCTAGCCGTTACTCACAATTTTGAACTGGAAACTAGACAGGAAGTTCCGGACCTGGAAGACAGGAACTTCCGGACTACACTTAGGAAAAATCTTTTTCACAAGACCGAAACTTCCGGACCTGGAAGACATGAAGTTCTGGACTTGCACTTTTGGACAGATGGAGTATTTGCAAAAATAACTCCTAGGGAAACTTGACACTTGGTTTACTCTAAGAGCACTTGAGATATCTCAGAGCATCACCTGGAACCCCTCTTAATAGTACGGTTTTTCCTAAAAACTCGATTGCAATAAATAAACTATCCTATGCACTTCTCGAGTTCCGGTCCGCTTTGATTTTATACTTTTGGGGGCTCTCCAAGCATCCATCTTCCACACCTTGGACTAATGCACCTGAAAGTTACTCAATGAACTCATTAGTCCCTTAACCACATTTGTCATTAATCACCAAAACCCACTAGGGGGATTAATGCACTTTCACCCATGAAATAAGTGCAAAAACCAAAAGGAGTATTCTACATTAAGAACCATTCATTTCCACTTGTTTGAGTCGGGGTTCATGCCTAGCTATAATTGTTGGACCTTGCACGGAGAGCTAGGGGTTCAAATGGAAGAAGATGAAGTAGAAGATGAGAACATTTCGGATTGGGCTCAGTACGATAATTGGGGGTTTATATTTGAAGATAAAATTATATCAAAATTCCAGTGAGGTGAACATAATGAGTGGCATCTACATGAATTACCCCAAGAAGTGCCTCAAGGCCTACCACCGTAGGTCCAGGGGTGCCTGCCTTCCCACACCACCCCCACACCCGACCGTCATCGCTGCCCTTGGTCGACCGCCTCCGCACGCTCCTTTGTTCCCCCAGATTCACTCACCACGCTGTCGCCATACCAAAGGTGGAAGAGGAGGTGACATGGCTAGAGGAACGGCGCCTAGAGGCCATGCATCGCCGCCTGGCTCTCTCCCTGCTGCCCACCACCGACCACCTTGGAGAAAAAGAGAAGAAAAGAGAAGTGGAAGGAAGAAAAGGTTTTACGTGGATGTGGAGCGCCAACGCCGCCGCTCTAGCTCCCGCCCTGCAGCTAGCCACTGCCACTTCGGCCTCACCCACCGCCACCGCTCTAGTCCCTGCTCCCCACGGACGGCCAAAGGGAAAGATAAAGGAAGAGAAAGAGAGGGAGATAAGGGAGAGGGAGGGAGGGAGGAGGGAAGGAGAGAGGACATGTGAACCCCACATGTCAGTGGGTCCCACAATATTGTTTGTGTGAATGACAAATGATCTCATGTATATTCTTTTAATTCTAATGCCACATAAGCATCACGTGGAACGAAGATAAGATCAACACCTCCATGTAGGTGCTAGTAAGCTAAACCGTGTTTTAAAACCACTGAGAAAGATAAATTACATCGGTTTTAATAATTGGGTGATAAGATTCGGTGACTAGTCAAGGTAGCCAAAGTGAACTTATACCTATAAGATAGAACCAAGCATTTTTTTGGCCGCTCTATAAACTTGGTTTTATCAGATACAGTACTGGTATTTAATGCATCTAGAGGTTTTCATTTATCTCATCTATCTATTCATGTTATTCCTTCGGTGAGATCTAACGATTGTTACAACTTATACAAGAGGAAAAATGACTAAATGAGGATTAAGAAAACAGCTACAAAAATGGCATCTATCTTTAGTTACAACGATTTATGGCTTTACAATGCCATGAAGCTTCCATCCCCCAAGCCCAGCCAGCGAAAAGGCCTGCATACCATATTGCAAAGAGATTTAGCAAATTTTCTAACACCAAACGATCTAGAGACTCAGTATTTAAAAAAAAATATGTCGAGCAAATTGACGTGTTTACAGAACTATGGCCTTTCATGCCTATACTTATATGTGTGCACAGCATGCACGCGGTGGCACGTGTTTTTGTGTGTGTTTCTGCAAAGGTTACAATAGGCGTATTATCAATTTTGGAATTCAATTTGCAGTGTAATAATTGGAATAATAATTTCTACACACTAATCATTGTTCCTACGCGTCATAGACTGAAATTATTGCGAAACTTAGCCACACTTCTGGCCAACAAATTGCTAGCCTCACTTTGTGTGGCATAACACACTTGTGACAAAGTGAGATGTAGTAAACTTAGCCATCAACCAAACAACCCCTAAAGACACGCCCTCTCAAAATACCACGGGCACACATGAGTACATGACTATGCATGTCCAGTTGGAGGCATCAAATGCGTCCCACAGAGTGTGGATGTACACTTGTAAAATTGATGGATAGATGTCATTGCCAAATATTATAGAATTTGAGCCCTAGTATGCTGCATGTACAACCACACTTACACTACTAGCATTTGGCCACAGGCCAGCTTCTTGCTTGGGTGTGCATTTGAAAATACTGACTTTTGCAATGGTGGAACTAAGACATTCTTGTTGCAAGCACTTGCTAGATGCCATTCCTTGCAAAACAATGAAAATAAATGCCGTGTTTTAAGTCATCCTCAATCTCACTAGTTTCAAACCCCTACTACATTTACGTTAGACCCAGCCAGCCAATTTCATGCATTTCTTCTTCTGAGAATGTCATTAATATGCTACCCTTTTCATGCACCCATGAACTACTGTTTGAATTGAGCTAAACGGCATAACAAATTTGATCTTTTTTTGACTTATTGTTCTTAAGTACAAAATTGGAGTTGTTGAAATACCAATGTTTGCTACCTTAGGTTCCATGTGGTAAGGTGCTAGATTATTGATTTTACATTTCTTCTAAACATCAACAAACAAACCGAAAACATTGGATGAGGCCAAGTCACCTCATGAATCTCACATAAGACCAACTTCCACATGACTAACCAAGTTGCATAAGCTACTGAAACTTGATCAACTAATGGTTATATATGCTAATATTTCCTCATCTCACATACACATAACACATTAACAACTGTCAAGGTATGGGCCTATGAAAATTTAGTTGCATTGCCAAATTTGTGTGTCCCCATTAGTTTAGTCTTGAGGGTTCGAATTTGTCATACATTGATTTCCTCGAAATCAAGCAGTACATCATATGTTATATGTTATAGTTGGATTTCTAAATTGCCTTTTAGGACCACTGTTACATGATGCAAGGACAACAGAACTACATTTCAATGGAGGTTCAATAACAGCTCTAAGAATGTAACCCGCCGTAAGATTCAACTGACAATTCACAAGTAATCCAAATGATGGTATGGCATCAGACACAAAATAGAAGTGTACAAAAACTAGGAAATAAAGGAATCAACTTTTGGTCACAGGAATAATACTAACCTCAACCCATGATTTTCCTTCAGCCTCAAGCAATGCAGCATTACATGTCTTAAGCACTACTGAATCACCAGAGAACATAGAGGCTGCTTCTTCCCATCCTTTATTATGTCCCATACACCTGAATATTTATTCTACAAAAATGTCATGATCGGACTTGAAGAAAAAAAAAATCTGAGCATGAGATTCAAAGCATAGGATGATTGGAAACAAATTAGAAGACTTACATTACAGTTAGGATTTCATCACTTGAATATTGACAAATTGCCTTTTGCAAATGTTCAGCAGTTTGACCATCCATTGCTGCAATTGAATAGAAACTTGGGATAAAGTGAACGATTGCTTCAGACAATCCCTTAACATGGTCTTGCAAGATCTTAAGAGTTTCCTTTGTACGAGTTGCATCACTGTATTGAAGAAGGATAAAAAAAAATTAAGGTGGATGGCCTATTCTATTTATATGCATACCAGAAAAACAATTTATGTGATTTTAGGCATTTCAGAGACATAAGTTCAAATAATTGGATGGGCAAGATGATACTTATAATGAATAATAGAGAAGTATTCCAGGCATGTACATTCCACTGAAACAAGATATCACCAAAAAGAACTCGGTAGAGTATATATGATGAACCACTACACATCCAAGGCAATCATAACTCACGTGGCAATACCATATCAATTATGGCGACACAAGATCTACTCCTACCTGAAAAAAGAAAGAGCAAAGAAAGGGGGAGGTAGAGAAAAAGCTAATGTGAATCTGCACCCTGCTGACCGGAAAGAAGTTCCAGAAAAACACTCATATTGCATTAGCAGCCTTTCAAGCTTTTTTGTCCATTAGCAGCCTTCTACATAATCAATGTATACAGATTTTCTTACAAAAGCTAAGTTGTTACCTGCATAGGACGAGCTCAGGTATCCATCCCATCTGTTGTAGCTTGTTAGAAACACTGATTGCAGCAGCTCTCCCTGCTTTGCTTAGAGGTCTGTCATGATCTGACATTGATAGCCATGCCAAATGGTGTTTAGTCTTTTAGAAATAAATGCAAGAGCCAGTAATTATCAACAACAAAGACATCCGGGATTATCATACTACTGCATGGCTACCGAAATGGTGCGTACTAACTAGCAAATCGAACAAACAACAAATGAGCATATGGCGATTTTGACTCTTTCTCACCCGGTTCCCTTTTCTCACATCTATACTTTCTATAAAGTTATAGCTCACTAAGTATAAAGCTCAACACACAACCATGCCACATCATCACTTGCAATAATTACATATTTAACCTCATGCAAGCATACAACATTATTTACAATTTATTTAATTGTACAAATCAACATGCAAGCATATCCAATCAGCACCCCTCACATCATTTGCATAATATTTTAATAAGTATATCTATCATTTTTATAATGTTTAACATATATTTATCATCAATATGTTTTACAATAAAGCACGAGTATCATTTGTTTGTTTCACAATAAGTACTGATTAACCCTGATGTTTTTTTTTCCCGTTTTACTCCTAGCTTGACTGTCAAAAAAAAATATTGAGAATCGCTTACTAATTCCCGCAGCAAAGTGCGGGGAATCACCTAGTTTATTCAAAGAGTTGGCCGTTAAACTAATGTTGTGAAGTATATAACACACAAATGGTAAATGCATTGGAACCATTTCTTTTGATAACTGCAATAACCCTTTTGTTGAGTAGTATATGTAGCAACATTTCTCTAGAATAAGTACATTGTTTCATTTCATCGGACCATTGTAATTCTGCTGCAAGCAACACTAGTAAAGAAATGTGTCAAACAGCATAACAAGTGCACTATCTCATCCAATCTTTTGAGCAGCCAGAGCATAGCAAAGAAATGTACATCATATTCCCTATCGCAAGAAAGAGAAATCGCTGATGCTCCTATCCACTGTCAGGTGTAAACCATCCGATTTCTCGAAAGAAAGGAAAGCAAGAGAGAGAAGGAATGGGGGCCCCGTACCTCTGGTGAGGCGCCCTCCGGCGGCGCTCTCCCCGTGCCGGAGGAGGATGAGCCGTCGCCGCGGCGGCGCCGCCGGCGCGGGGGCCGCGTCCCCTCGCGCGGGCTCCGCGGCGGCCGCCGTGGGCGCGTCGACGGCGGTGGAGACGGAGACGGAGACGGAGCGAGCCGCCGCCGCCGCGGCGGGAGGCATGCGGCAGGCGGCAGCGACCGTGGGCAGCGACGGCGCGAGGGAGGAGTTGGAGAGGAGGAGCAGGTGGGGAGGCGGGGAGGCACGGCCGGAGAGCGGCGCGGGTGGAGGTCTCATCTTCCGCCGCCGCCGCCGCCGCCGCTGCTGGTGGTGGGTCGTCGTCGTGGAGGTGGTCGGTCGCTTGTCATGGACTCATCGGAGAAGAGAATAATGGATGGATAGGGAGACGATGACTCTAGATGCTCCTGATTTTCTTTTAAAAGTAAATTTCAGAAAAAAAATAGGTAGAAAGTTGCAGAAAATCACAGGGTTTTTTTTTTGTTTCCGTGTATCATGAAACCCTACATTTATTCAATTTTTGATAATTTTTAAAATTTTATAGGTACTCTATATTTTTGAATTTTGCCTTAATCCGTGCTCAAAAATGCATAACAGTGGAATTTCGTGAAACATTTAAACCATAATACCTAGAATTTAATGCCAAATGACATAATATTTGTGGTTTTTTATAGCTTGTACCCAAAACATGGGATTTTATGAAATTTACACTTTTTTTCTCCTTCTGTTTTCTTTTTAGTATTCCACATGTTTTAAAATTTCAAATAGTGACAACAATGCCACACAATTTCTCTGTTTTGACCTACGTAGAACACATTAATTTGACAAGCCAAAAAGAATATTTAGACATAGGTCTTCTGAATTCAGGCAGTGAATTTTATAACAGGACAAAAAGGATTCTAAATATAGGAAAATTTTCGAATTTAGGCCAAAATTAGGCAGTGATGTATACATATGTCCTGGTTAGCACTATAGCTCAAAATAAAATTATTACAACCAACTAAGTGAAATTCAAAACAGAAGCGACTGTATACATATGTCCTGGTTCAGTCATTGTTTGAACAGGAGAGACTAGCTAGCAAGAAAACATAACCTTTTGGAAAATAGTCAATAAGACAAGTAGCTAATTAAATAGTGTGCCTGGTGTGGACATAGCCAACTACAGAGTCATCTTACAACAGGCTTCATTATTTGTCTATAGGAACAGATGGGCATCAAACTAGAGTATAATATATCTACATGAATTTCATACAAAACAAGACTACATCATATGTACATTTTATAGCCGAAGTAAAGTTCACAGCATATCTATCTGCATACAACACCACAGGAGCAGCTTCGACCCTTGGAGTTCACTCGTTGTATCATTGTCAGCTGAATAAATCTTGTAAGTACATATAAGAAGGTGATTTGGAAACTCAGCTTCCCACTTTGAACGCGTCCACAAAAAAGCCCAGACATACGCCGGCTTTCCAGTAGTTCACCATTGTGATCATTGACCAAAATCGTCCAGGAGGCCTACTGGCCGGTTTTCTGTACATGAGCATGCCAATTCCCTCAATGGTAGCCACTACAATAGCAGCAACAAAAACATCCCAGTCACCAGTCTGCCCCAGGACTGTTGCCAATGCATTGGCGGTATAGAAGCCAAGGAGCACAAGGAAAATCTTTGTGGGGGATTTGTTCCTGGCAGAATTCAGTTTTTCAAGTAGTTCCCTCGCAGCAGCCTGGATGAGTCTTCCCAGCCTTGTTCTGCCAAGAAAGCCACCATCATCTTCGAAATCTTGGTTGTCAGCGTTAGATGGTCCACCTGTTTCCAAGGCAAAGACTGGCTTCCATCTGGTTCTTTTCATCTGGCAACTACAGAGTGGAGATATTGAGTCAAAAGTGCCAAAGCTTCTACAGGGTAGAGATTTTAAGAAGTTGATTGCGCAGCGCCAATCATGTTTTTTTTCCCAATTTGTACAAGGCTTCAGTTTTGAAGCTAGCAATTCGTCTACTCCCATCCCCCAGAGAATATGAAACTTCGAATTTGACTAGTTAAACATTCCGAACTTTTATTTTGTGGGGAAACATTCTGAACTTTGACCACTACAACATAGAGAACTATCTTACATTTCTCATGTCAAAATAATACAATTAAGTGACTAAAAAATGTTTTGGTAACACAATGTATTACAGTTATTTTGACGGTCAAATTTACACACTAGCGATCTTATCATGTCCAAAGTGTCATATATTTGTTGACAGATGGATTAGTTCTATTGTTTTATTTTGTTTATTCAAAATGGTATAAGCATACAACGCGGTAGATACCATATAAACTAAAAATGGGTACTATCAGTAATAAGATCTAATGTATACCACAAATTGATATTATATAACGATTACGTGCCGAATTCTTATATTTTGTATGGAACCTAGTGGCATAATCACAATACTGTTTGAAGAAGGTAAATGCAATACTTTGTCGAAAGTCTGCATCCATGTCACCTTCAAGAGCACAACCTGCAGGCGTGCATTTCCTAACAACATGCAGTGCAACGCAATTCCCTTTATTCCATCCTTTTTGTTTGGGTGAGCCCATATTATATTCATTTTAAACAGTCAAACCCCCAACTTACATCAGCCCAGTGCCTAGCTTTACATTAACCTATATGCTTCTTAACTTCAATATAATCTGAACAGACAATATAATCGGACTAACAGTCAGCAAAAAATGTGCTAAATCCATGAACATCCCGACTATGGACATGGTTCAGGTAGCACGAACTCATCATAAACATAAACAACCAGATATACTAAAAGTGCCACGGAACTGTCGCAGCACACACCCCCAACTAGAAATATGTGCGCAAATGAATTGGAGAAGGTAAAACTGCTGCTCCCCCAAAATTCCCCCAATCCATACGGGCTCGAAAGAAACTGGTACAAGGTACATATTCAAAAGTGACAGTAAAAATTGACGCCCAGCCTCCCAATAGCTCCGACAATTTAGTTCTGAATTAGTCTTAACCCCAAGTATCCCAATTTCTGATGCCCCTAGTACTGAACTTAGTCTAATTGGAACCCAATTGCCAATTGGTGTTTCTTTTTTTTTTTTTATAACAAAATTCAAGTAACGGATAGAAGACAACAATGAGCAGAGCTAACCTGAGGCCCAAGGCTCGGCCAGTTGTTCCCGGCGGCGACAAGCAGGTCGGGTGGAGAAGCGCGGCACCACGGCCGCCGCCTCCGCGGAGGCCACCGGCTGCCGCCCGCGGGGCGCTGAGAGGGAGGGCTCCGCCGCGCCGCAGCGGCATGGGCGGCAGCAGGGGACACCGCACGAACGAGACCTCTGCGCTGAGCCGCTGAGGAGTGAGGACTGTGTCCGCCTGTGGCTGTTGTTGAGTCTTCCGTGGATATATGCAATTTGTTCCATTGGGCTGTTACTGGGCTGGAGATTATGGACAGTGGGCTCTTTGTGTTTGGTTTATTAGAGAATCTCTACGAGCGCTACCAACAATAAGTTCACTTTCACTCCTTTAATTAGTGCCTAAATCTGATTCGTATCCCTGAACCATAATACCATATATCACGACCCCTGATTATTGAAACCAGTATAATTTGACTCTTTCAACGGTTTTGGAGAGTGGTTTCGCTGACGTGACGCTTACGTGGCATTATAATTAAAAAAAATGTGTGCAACCCATTAGTCATTCACACAAAAAAAAAGTGTGGAGCCCACATATTATCCTCTCTATCTCCATCCTTCTTCCTCCTCCCGCTCTCGTTTCTCTCTTCCTCTCTCCCCATTTCTCTTCACCTTGGCCGGACTGCCGGAGCAGCGATGACATGTCTTGTGGGTGGTGCGGCCGAGGAGGTCTTTGCCCTCTCGGCGTCTCGCCTCTCCAGCTGGAGGAGGAGCTTGTCCTTGGCGTCGACGGTGAGGTTGGCTCGCCCCTTCACCTTCAGGACGCCCTCACGGAGGCCGACGCTTGCCCGTCTCCTCCTCTCTCTTTCAGCTCTTCTCGCCGCCGACGAAAGAGGCACCGAGGTGCCGTCGCTCGCACAGCAAGAGCCAGACGACGATGCTAAAATGCGAGGGCGGCGACGAATGAGGAGACGGGATTAATTAAACAAATGACTAAAATGGCCACCAAAATCAACAGTGGGATTTATTCTTACTACACTAGTACACCCACCTGTGGGAGGTACAGTAAAAACACCCTTCCAATGGCTATATAGTACATTCAAAAAGAAAACCAGATTATTTCTTCATGCGATTGTTACAATGCTGGGAGACGGTGGATTATTTGAGATTGCTAGTTAAACTGCATTTTCCTCGTGATCTGAAGGAGGAAGAAAAGGTGGCTGCCATCGCCATGGCAGGGTGTAGAGGAATAACTTGAAGCACATTGGAGAAGCTCATGGATTCTAGCTCCAGGGACAAAAACAAGGAGACATTCTGCCTCCCCAGCGCCACCCCTGGGGGCGACGCAGTCTCTAGGCTTAGGTGAAGCACACCGCGCTACCACGTTCGTGCCGATCAGGTCCACCTGGTGCTGCTCCATGATCCAACAATCAACGCGTATTGTCGTCGTCAGTCCGGCTGCGTTGCTGCAAGCATGCATTGCCATACCATCTCTTCCGCTTGTGGACTTTGTCGGCGAGATCGGGCAGGTCAGCGTCTCTTTTGTCGAGGCTGCTGGCAAGGGCGGGAAACAGACGGCATGTATCCCACAGAGTGCTACGATGGGTGTTCACGTGGTTAGCCATGGCCTCCAAAATCCTAAGCTCGTCGGCCTTGGACCACAACGCTCGAATGCCGCCACCCGCTTTTTCTTGTTGTTGCGCTTCTGAGACGAGGTCGGGGCTGGCTTTTTCTTTGGCTCGCCGTCGCCGAGCTGCAGTTGCACCTTCGCCTTGGATACCTTTGGCATGGCCTTTCGCGGTGAAGGACGATTCTTGCTGGGCGCGGGCTATAGCTGCGATTGCGAGGGTTCGGCTTGGGCTTGGGCTTTGGCCGGCCCGCCCTCCCGAGGCTTCTTCGTGCGAGCGCTTTCCTGGTGGCGCGCCCCTGCTGCTGCTTGTTGAGCTTGAGGGACGGGAGGGGAGGAGGAGGTGCCGGATCCGGAGGAAGCGTCGGCTTTGCTGCCCCATCCATTATCCAACGAGGAGAAGAGGCGGCGCCATGACCACCATGAGCTCATTGCTGCTGCGGTTTCTCCGCTTCTTGGTGAAATGATTGGGGGAAAATTCATCTTCATGGTGAAGAAAAATGAGTGGAGTGGGTGGCACAGTGAAGTAGTAGTAGTACAAGTACTTGTGTGATTTTTTTTTACCGTGCACTGCAGCTCCCACATGAGAGTTGGTAGCACAGTAGAGTTTGCACTATTAATAAAGTATGCAATTCAAACATGATCTGAAAAACATGCATGTTTTGTTTTGAGTTGTATCTTGCCTCCGTTTATGGAAACATACTATATATATGGGATAATTCTTTATATGACTATGTTTCGAAGCCTAACCTAACTACTAATCTGACCTTTTTTTGTTTGCTTATTTGACTCTGCTTTTCAAAAAGAAATGAAATATAATAACTTTTTATAATGATGAGAATACCCACGAAGCAACCCTATCCACATCTAATTCTATATATTCAGATTAACCCTATCCATTCATCTCTCATATCCCGTCTCTCTCTCTCGGCAAGTGGCGGCGGCGGCGCCAGCTCGTTGTAACTCTAATTCGCTGAAAATGCTAGATCGGGGAGGAGCGCCTGTAATTAGTGCCCTGGAGATGTAGCCCTCGACTGAACTCCGGTATCAAATATCGTGCGTCAGTGATGTCATCGTGTTTGGATCTCCTATGACGTTTCTTCCGCGCTCAACTATCGATGTTGATTTCGGGGCTGGTTTTATAGTAGCCGCTTCGGACAATGATTGGCGTCGATTGTTGGCAGCGCTGTTGAGAAGGGCGGAGTCACCATGTGCCCGTCCCCATGTTCACGTGAAGAAGGGAAATGTGACCGTCGATGGCGGACAATGCCCAGGAGCGATACGACGACCATCCTTCTGCTTCGTGAGCTTAGGACTGAACGCTATTGGGCTAGGTGGCTGGCAAGCATCGGCCTATCATACAAATATAATTACTTAATTGTCCTTCCACCTTATTACCAAAATCAATGGTGGGATTTATTCTTACTATGCTAGTACATCCATCGGTGGGAGGTACAACCAAAACACCCTTCCATTGGCTATATAGTGTATTCAAAAAGAAAACCAGATTATTTCTTCATGCGATTGTTGCAACACTGGGAGACGGTGTATTATATGAGATTGCTAGTTAAACTACATTTTCCTCGTGATCTGAAGGAGGAAGAAAATGTGGCTATCATCGCCATCGCCGGGTTTAGAGAAATAACTTGATGCACGTTGGAAAAGCTCATGGATTCCAGCTCTAGCGACAAAAACAAGGAGACATTGTGCCTCCCCACCGCCACCGTCAAGGGCGATGCTGCCTCCAGGCTCAGGTGCAGCACGCCGTGATACCACGGTCGTGTCGATCAGGTCCACCAGGTGCTGCTCCATGATCCAACAATCGACGCGTATCGTCGTCAGTAGGGCAGCGTTGTTGTAGGCGTGCATTGTCATACCTCTCTTGAGCTTGTGGACTTTGTCTGCGAGATTAGGCAGGTCGGCGTCTCTTCTGTCGAGGTTGCTGGCAAGGGCGGCAAAAAGATCGTAGTTATCCGGCAGAGTGCTGTGATGGGTGTTAGGGTGGCTGGCCATGGCCCTCAAAATCTTGAGCTCGTTGGCCCTGGACCACGTGTTAAATATGTGATCCGAATTTTGGGCCCACAATATATTCGGATTAGTTTCCTAGTAGGAGTCCTATTAGGTGTCTTTCTATTATCCCCTATATATACTCTTGTAAGCCGTACGGGAAGGGGTGACGTTCTCGTTGTGATTCCCCTATGTTTGTAATCATCTCCTCTATAGTGATCATTGCCGGTCGGCGCCCGTGGTTTTTTCCCGCAAGGGTTTTCCACGTAAAAATTCGTGTCTCCGTTGTGCATCTATTTTCATAACAAGTGGTATCAGAGCATTGGAGATCGATCTACTATTCCCGACCACCGGCGATTGTTTCCCGATCGAAGAAATCGATCTTATCGGCTGCGGCGGCGGCTCCCGTCGTCTCGTCGATTCCCAGTCCGACTCAGTGTTTCCTGTCCTCGCGCAGAGGAGAAAAGCCGCGCAAGCAATCGAAGCAGCAGCAGCCGGCCAACGAAGCAGGAGAAAAGCGGAAGCAGAGGAGTACTACTGCAGCGCACGCGCACCGAGGAAAAGTATAGGAGTATCAGCCGAGAGGTCTGTCCAGTACAGGCTGATTTTTCCTAGAGGCGAATTTTCTATACGCACCAAGCTTGTGTACCCAGGAGATCTACATACTTCGCTACGTGCACACGAGAAGTGTACCAGGTTTCGTGTTTTTGCTAGGTTTACCCTAATTTCTTACTAGCAAATTCAGGATTAATTCCCATGGCGAGTTTGAAGTATGATCTACCGCTCCTGGACCGAGACACAAGATTCTCACTTTGGCAAGTGAAGATGCGAGCCGTTCTTGCACAGCAAGACCTCGATGATGCGCTTTCTGGATTTGACAAGAGGACTCAAGATTGGTCCACCGATGAGAAGAAAAGGGATCGTAAGGCTATGTCATATATTCATCTTCATCTATCTAACAATATTCTGCAGGAGGTGCTTAAGGAGGAGATAGCTGCTAGGCTGTGGTTGAAGCTGGAACAGATATGCATGACTAAGGATCTGACCAGTAAGATGCACCTGAAGCAAAAATTATTTTTGCACAAGTTGCAAGATGATGGGTCTGTAATGGACCATCTCTCCGCTTTTAAGGAAATTGTTGCTGACCTTGAGTCTATGGAGGTAAAGTATGATGAAGAGGATTTAGGCCTTATTCTATTGTGTTCATTGCCTAGCTCATATGCAAACTTCAGGGATACTATTCTTTATAGTCGTGATACTCTAACTTTGAAAGAAGTTTATGATGCTTTGCATGCCAAAGAAAAGATGAAGAAGATGGTACCTCTGAAGGTTCAAATTCACAAGCAGAAGGCTTGGTTGTTCGGGGCAGGCAACAGGAGAAGAACACAAACAACAAATTAAGAGATAAAAGTTCAAGTAGCTACCGTGGGAGATCAAAGTCCAGGGGCAGGTATAAGTCATGCAAATACTGCAAGAGAGATGGACATGATATATCTGAGTGTTGGAAGCTACAGGACAAAGACAAGAGAACCGGAAAATATGTACCAAAAGGTAAGAAAGAAGAGGAAGGTAAAGCCGCAGTTTTTACTGATGAGAAGTCTGATGCAGAATTGCTTGTT